TAAACATGTCAGCCTTTTGAACATAAAAAATAATTTTTTCCCGAGAAATAGCAACAAAATGATTCAAATTGTCTATAAGCGAAAAATTGCAATGTTTTAGCAATAAAGTTTTTCAATGTTGGAAATAGTTATTTCTATTTTTTTAAATTCTTTCGATAAAATGACTCTTTCTCTCTCTCTTTCTCTATCTCTCTCTCTCTCTCTCTCTTGCTTATGCTATCCGTAGAATCATTGTTTACTCTTTTTGACTTATGTTATTGCAAAAAAAGTTGTATGGTATAAACAAATTGAATAACTTTTAAAGTAGTTGATGAATCACTCTGAAATTTTAACCACATTTTTAACACTATAAAACCCAATTTTCTAAATTCGTTAAAAATGCTTTTTTTGTTAGACGGCAGTCTAACTAGTTTTCTAGTTTTTTCTGGTAGACGAAAGTTGTGCCTAAAAATGTGCATTTTGGCCTTAAATTGTTAATCATTTAAAAAGTCCACCGAACCCACTGCAGGAAATATGGAGGTTGTAGGTAGTGAGATCCATAAAACTCAAAAAGGGTAAAAGTCTCCAACATGGTACTTTTTTACCTTATTTCTCTGGACTATTAAATTATTTTTACTAAAGTTTTTGTCACGTGCTGGATTGCTTTACTCATTAATTATTAGTAAACAAATCCAATATCAGTTAAACCTGAAATTAAAATAATTTTAAAGCACGTGTAATATGTCCCCAACATGTTGATCGATCGCGTAAAACCCGTGCCTTGCTACTTACGACACCACACCAGCCTAGCCCGTCCTGTAAATGACAAATTTGACTTTGATCCAATCGCATGGAAATTGGAGATCGATTTGCAGTCGCTAATTATTCTGCTCGTCCATGCAAATATCAAATAATGTATCGTTCCTTTATGTCTCGTTAACATACGAAAACATCGAAATAATCACGAACTGATTTTAATATTAGAATCATTGTGTAATTATCTTTTTACTGAATATTTACAATTTGTTAAGATACAAGTAAATTTTGATGAAATTAGGAGTCAATTCTTCTTTTTAATTCGCCCTTTCTAGCGAATATTGTCGATGACTTCTGTAAATTCTTTGCTATATTCTTCTTCTTACGGTGCCTATCCGTTCCGGATGTGGGCGATCAGTATAGCTAGTCTAACTTTACTTGCAGCTATTTGGAATAGTCGGGTTGTAGACGTGTTGAACCACTTCCTTAGGTTTTGAAACCAAGATATTCTTCTTCTCACTGGTCCTCTATTTCCAAATACCTTGATCTGAAGGATGAGTTCAGATCTGTGTTCATTTCTCATAATATGGCTAAGATATTCTAATTTGCGTTCTTTGATTGTGTTACTAATCTCGCATCCTTGCGCATTCTAAGTAGGAATTCAATATTAGTCACACGATCCACCCACGAAATTCCTAAGATGCGCTTGTAACACCACATCTCGAAGGCCTCGAGCTTTCGCAAAAAAGCTGCAGAGAGCGTCCATGCCTCTATTCAATATAATAATGTAGAAAATACATAGCAACTAATGATAGAGATTTTGGTAGTAAGTGGTAAATCGTGACTTCTGAAAAGAGACTTCATCTTTACGAAACGCTGTTCTTGCTTTCCCTATGCGTTGTTTTATTTCAGTAGAGTGGTCTTATTGACTATTTATGTTAGTACCAAGATATGTGTAGCTGTTTTCCCCGTGAATTGGCTGTTGTATTACCAAAAGATCTGTATTTAATATTTCGCGCTTACTAACTACCACGTACTTTGTTTTGTTTGTATTGAGATCCAGCCCATATTCTCGACTTATATCTGATATCCGCGACATTATTGCTTGTAAACCATCTAAGGTATCTGCAAAACTACTGTGTCATCAGCATATATATTGTTGTTTACAACAATACAGTTGTAACTACTATTACATGTTAAATAGCACTGGAGAGAGAATGCACCCTTGTCTCACTCCTCTATCTATGGAGATTCTCTGTCAACTGGTCATCTACTTTAATGTTGGCAGTTTGGTTGTAATATAAATAATATATAATTCGCAAATCTCTATCATCCAAGCCCGCTTCTATCAAGATTGATATGAGCTTGTCATGTTTTACTCTATATTTCTATATCATTTTTGCTATATTGGACTTTCTTTATTAGTGATGGGAAGTCCAACCCAGTCCATTCGCTCCAAAAGTGACCCATTTCTTTGATCAACTCGAAACTATTATGAATAATTTACAACTTCAACAATACCCTGCTAGAATATGGAATACAGATGAAACGGCTTTTAATTATTATGACCCCAGCTGTACTAAGGTTGTAACTAGAATCGGAAGAAATAGCACAACGGCAAACTGCAGGCTCAGGATGGAAAACAACAACAGTTTTGGCATATGTTAATGCCAACGGATCCATATTGCCACCTATGATCCTCCACAAGGGCAAAAGGTTATGAGACAATATGTTTGGTACAGATAAGTATCCAGAGATATCTTACTACGTATCCGAAAATGGTTGGATGACTGAACAAGTATTTTTTCTATGGTTCATAAACTTTTTTTTAAATTGCGTTGAAAGGCTTGCTCTTTTTATTTACGATGGTCATTTATCGCACATTTCACCCGAACTGATTGCGTTATCCATGGTACAATATGTGGCTATTCTTAAATTACCGCCGCATAGTTCTGCAATATTGCATCCTTGAGATGTATCTGTCTTCAAGGGGCTCAAGTCTTTATAAGATGCTTTGTTAACAGATTGGCAGCGCAAAAATTTAGGAAAACTGCTAACAAAATGCGAATTTTCCAACCTTTTGGGAAAATCTTGGCGGAATATTCGAGAACCTGTTGTGGTGAATGGCTTTAGAAAAACAGATATTTTTCATCTAAATCGAGATTCCTTTAATAAAGACAAGTTTGATCCCGAAAAGTTAAAACAATATTATAAAGAGAAAAAATTCCTGACACTATCACTGATGAGCAAAGTTCTAGGGATAAGCAAACTACGACCCCATGTACAACCTCTTGCAGCTCTACTACAGATAGCCATAATTGCATTGCATCAACTTCCATTGCATCCTGGAAGAACATTCTACTAGAAACAGTAAAACCTTCTTCGAAGCTACATGTTGCTGAGGTGATCACAACTAAAACCTATTTAGAACACCTACAGTTATCAAAAACTGAGACAAAAGTTTTGAAGCATACATTCAAGAAACAATCATAATTAAGTAGTGACGATGAAAATTCCGAAGAAGTCGTTTATTCAGAGAGTGATGACTCATATGAAGCTCCAAATGACAATATGAAAGAAGGTGCCGATCCTCAAGTTCAAGAACCCACTGATGATAATATAATACCAGGATACATCGTAGTACGAATAAATAAACGATGTGTGGGAAATGCCTTCAAATTTTGTGAGGAAAACGAGCCTCTCTTGTTCGCTTATGATAAGATATTGGGAATACTGAACGACCCAAAATCAGAAAATGAAAACGTCGTTACGTCTTGTGAGGATTTAAGGAGATGTAAAAATATTGCCTAGCTGTTTGTTGTTTCATGGTTTATAATAAAAATTTTCGTTTCTGCATTTTTATTGTTGCTTTTATTTTAAACTACAGTTATACCTTTCATTATAATAACTACAAAGTGAAGTTTACCAAGCAGACCACAATCTCCTGTCAGGGTCCATAGTTACCCTAAATTAACGGGTAACTGTGGACCCTTACATGTGAAAGAAGAATGTCAATACTCCCCTCTCTCAATTCATTTTTCATCTTCTATTGAAGAGAACATATTAATAGATTACTAATACATATCCATAAACAAAAAGAAGTGGTTTGAAACAAACTAACTTCATAAGTAACTTCAAAATAAAACTTTTTATATTCCGTCCACAGATACCCCACTTCACCTTAATGTTAATTTTTACAATAAATCTGACAACATATTAGGTATATTTTTGAAAGAGTTAAAAATATGTATAAGACATTGTATATGTAATGAAGTATAGTTCGCCAAATATAACTGAAAGTGTGAAAACGCGTGACGATCATGATGCGCATTCGTCAAACGACGGACCTCGCACTCGCACTGACGCGATGGTCCAGACCGTTTGTATGTGCGTTCTCACTTCATTGTTAGCGCAGGCAATGGGAATTTCACACTTTCAGCTATATTTGGTAAACTATACGCCTTCTTCTTCTCATGTCTCCTTTCGAAGGTTGGCGATCCAAATAGCAATTGTGGTTTTGGAAACTGCTGCGCCAAAAGATTTCTGCGGATGAGTGATCGAACCATCTCCTCAGGTCTTTCAGCCATGAGTTCTGGCGTCTTCCTACTGATCTTTTGCCCTGTACTTTTCCTTTAAAGTATAACTTGCAGTAATTCATATTTTTCGCCTCTCAACACATGACCCAAGTATTGCATTTTCTCTTTGAATATTCTTAGTAATTCTTTTTGTTTCACATTCGACGAAGTACCTCAACATTAGTAACTCTTTGTACCCATGGAATTCCCAACATTCGTCTGTATATATACATCTCAAGCCATTGTTCAGTTTTCACAGCCATACAGTAAGACAGAAAAAACGTAACATCTAATAATTCGGATTCTAAGCTGCAGACTAAGGTCTAGTCTAGTTTATTTTAAAAAATTCAAAAATTTGATAATATACAGGATGCTGTATTTAAAATAAGAAAGTTGCTATTGACCACTCTTACATGACACACACTGTTTGAAACGTTTTTGATAAAAGAAGCATGTTTTCGAATACGCAACCTCGAATTTATTCCATTTCGCTGATGCACACTGTATGTAGTTGTGTATATTATAATACTTAATAAGTTAATATTGTTTAACTCTTTAACTAACACAATGCAGTATTAATAAAACTATCTCCCAAAGTATGCGTTCCTTTTTGATAACACTGACGTTTATCTGTTTACAATTGATAGTAGTTTACTTATATCACATTAAGTAAATTATACAACATAATACATGTCACAGACCTTGAACCGGCATTCGTTTCGTCCTTACTTTTTACTGTTCAGCCACACCAACTTACGATGTCGGGCAAGAGTAGTAACAAAGCAGATAACATCGCTTATTTTGTAGGTAAGGCAATTTATTTAGTACCGTCAACCAAGACGTGGAATATCGTATTGAAATAACTCTGGATTATTGATATTGCAGGAGTGGATGTGGGTACTGGTAGTGTTAGAGCGGCTTTAGTCACGGAATTTGGTGAAATAGTGGAATCAGCTGTAAATTGTACAAGAACTTGGAATATCCAACCGGATTTTTACGAGCAATCTACTGAAGATATTTGGCATGCAGTTGTCACATGTGTCAAAGTAAGTGAAAACCATATCTTGTCTGTTTCTGTATCTGCTTTTAGATGTTTTGAATTTTATTGTATTGTTTATTGATTTATATCTAGATAATGTACATGCCTTGGTGTTAAAATGATAAACAAATATAGTTTTTACACAATATGAAAGAAAAAGTATTAATTTGCCATTAAAGCCTGCGTTAAAATTCCAGAACTTTGCAACGTCTTCACTAATTATTATCCACTTCAGATAAAAAAAAGTATAGAATAAAAATCACAACCTAAATTGTGTAAAACCTATTATTATAAAGATATATGTTTATTTTCAAAAATATATTTTATTGCGATTTATTACATGGTGTACATTATATGCTTGCGTACTTACTTTACATGCTTTTTGATTATTTATTTGAATATTTTTATGGATTTTCATATTTTATTTAAAAATTTTCTGTTTCTTGTCATAACTGTTGGATGCTTTTTCGGTGTTTAGAATATTTGGATACTATTTCTTCCTTTTTCCATTTCTTACATAAAATGGGATGACGAATGGGATTATGAGTGGTAGTTTTGTCCAGTAAGAGTTTCTATCTCTCTGTTCTTCCTCTTTATACTTTGGAAGAATCTCCGCTTTTATCTTTCTGTTTTTGTCTTTATCAGACTCGGACATGTAAATGTTTTGATTTTAGGTGTGTACTGTTCAGTACTAAAAATGAAACATTAAATACATACAATTTATAAGTACATGAAATGTATGAGTTTATAAATGAACAGATTGATTGAATTTGACAGATTGAATGAACTGTCGATGAAACATCTACTTTTGACTTTCGTACAATGTACCTGGCAGCTATTATGGAGCCTCTCAGATGTAAAGGGTGTTTTTTTAAAGGTATAGAACTTTGAAATAGAATATAACCAAGGTAATTTTGATTAATTAACATGAAATGAACTTATTGGAAAGATGATCTTTTGGCAATATTATTTAAATATGATTTGTGGTATACGACCGTCACTGCTGACTCTGACGTAGTCTAATCCGCTGATCTAATTTTCGATTTCGATTTGGAACTTTTTTCAATATTTTTTACCGTATATCGGCAATAAAAAAAATTAAAAAGTTAAAAAATAAAAATATCTGGGTATAATAATTAACGAAAATAATGAGTATAAGAGATTAAGGCAAGAATAGGACAGGCAAGAAATTCTTTCAACAAACTGAAAAATTACTCTGTAGCAGGGACATTTCAATTTCTTTAAAGATAAGACTTCTGAGATGCTACGTGTTCTCCGTATTATTTTGTGGGTTGGAAGCTTGGACATTAAAGACTTAAAGAAAGATGTTTCGGATAGATTAAAAGCCTTCGAGTTATGGGCCTACAGAAGGATATTAAGAATAAGTTGGGTGGATAGAGTCACGAATGTCGAGGTGTTGAGAAGAATGGGAAAAGATAAAGAGTTTTAAATACAATTAAAGTCAGAAAACTGCAATATCTGCGACATGTCATGAGGGGCGAGCGTTATAACTTGGTTGCAATTAATAATGCAAGGAAGAATAGAGGGTAGAAGGAGTTGCGGAAGAAGACGCATCTCCAGGTTAAACAATTTGAGAGCTTGGTTTAACTGCACTTCTGCTGACCTCTTTAGAGCAGCCGCGTCGAAAGTGTGAATTGCCATGATGGTTACCAACCTTCTTAGAGAAGATGGCACATGAAGAAGAAGATCGGCAATAACGCGGCGAATGTTGTCCTTTAAGTGATTAATTGATTCATGCTTATTGGCGTAAACTGGCATCTTGGCATATCCCTACATAAAATAGTCTAGCAGTGTTAGATCGCACAATATTGGAGATCAAGTCACGGTCCGAAACGTGAAACTATGCGGTTACCAAATGTTTCCTTCAATAAATGAATTGTGGCACGAGCTGTGCGACATATTGTGTCGTTTTATTGAAATGACAGCTTCTGCACATCATAGTTGTTCAATTGGGGAATGAAAAAGGCAGTAATCATGGCTGTATAGCGGTCACCATTGACTGTAACACACATAAAGCACACCAAACAGTCAGTTTTTTTGGATATATTAGTTTCTCAACATACATTTGCGGATTATCTTAATTCCAAATAGAATATTTTTGTTTTGTGGGCTTCATCGCTAAACAAAATTCGCTTATGAAAATCGGAATCAACGGCAATCTTGTTTTAGACCCACAGGTACCTTCACAGTACACAGATGAGGTACCTTTAATTCTTGCATGAGTTGGATTTTGTAAGCACGCAAAGCAAGATCTTTCAGCAAAATATTCCATAAAGTCATAAAGTATCTAACCGCTGTGCACGATGGCACCTAGACTGATTCGGGTGTTCCTGTATGTTACGCTCTACATTAGCAACAACTTTTTTTGTACGAACTGGCTCTGATGAACTATTATGTTGACCATAAAATGTCAACTGAAATGATCAAGTCTATTCATGCTGAAATGCCAAACCAAACTTAATATAAATCACTTGACAGCTGTAAAAATGGACAACAGTTAAAAAAGTGTTCTTGTTCTTCTTCTTCTTCAAGTGCCCTCTTCACTGCGAACGTTGACTATTAGCATGGCAATTCTGATCTTGTTTGTGGCGCTTCTGAATAGTTCGACCGATGTGAGCCCGAACGACTTCCGCAGATTTTGGAGCCACGAGTGTCTTCTCCTGCCTGGCCCTCGCTTACTGTCTATTTTTCCCTGTAGACGGTACTTATCGTGTCTCAATACGTGGCCTAGATATTCAAGCTTTCTTTGTTTAATTGTATTCACGATTTGTTTCTCTTTCCGATTCTTTGGATTACCTCTATGTTGGTGACATGTTCGGTCCAGGATATACGAAATGCGTCGGTACACCCACATGTGTAGCATTTAACTAGACGTAGTTTTAGGGGAAGAGACAAATCCTTGCTTATGATGAGCTTTTTCATTATTGCTAAATGCTGCTCTAGCTCGTTCTATTCTCGCCTTATTTTCTGTGGCCTGTTCCCATTTTGCATTTACATTGGTGCCAAGGTACACATAAGATTCTACATGGTCAATTGTACAACTGAATAAACTCTTTCCATTACCTGTTCGTCTATGGTACTAGCAAGAATCACCGTGTCGTCGGCATATCTTATATTGTTCGTTAACTCGCCGTTTATTTTTAGGCCCTCATTTGCATTTTCCATATATTTGTTAAATATTTCCTCGGAATAAATATTGAGTGGGAGTGGAGATAATATACACCCCTGACGAACACCTCTTTTGATCTGCACACTTTCAGTGAGTTCGTTGCCAATTTTTGCTCTTGCTGTTTCATCCCAGTATAGGTTTGCCACAATTCGAATATCCTTTTCGTCAATACCTGTCTATCGCAGAATATCTATCAATTGTTCATGATTGACATTGTCAAAGGCTTTTCTAAAATGCACAAAGCACAAATACACGTCCTTATCAACATCTTTACACCGCTGTATAAGCACCTGGAAAGCGAAACTTGCTTCTCTAGTTCCAAGTGCTTTCCGAAAACCAAACTGCGATTTATCAATATTTGACTCACATTTATCGCATATTCTTCTATGAATGATCTTAATGAATGCTTTAGTGATATGGTTGATCAAGCTTATAAGCCGGTAGTCATCACAGATCTGGGCATTTGGTTTCTTCGAGATTCTAATAAATGTTGACTGCAGCCAGTTCTCCGGGATTTTACCGCTATTATATATGTTGTTAAAAAGTACAACTAGATTATCAAGGAACTGTTTGTCTGATTTACATAGGATCTTTAATATTTCTCAGGGTACATCGTCCGGACCTGCTGACTTATTGTTTTTTAGTGCTGCAATGGCATATTCTATCTCTGATTTAAGGATTGAAGGTCCTGTTTCTCCTTCTCCATATAGCTGATCATCAGTCCTGTCAGATGCAAATAATTTTTCGATGTATGATTTCCATGTTTCTAAGGTCGTTGATGGCTCCAGATAAGATTTCTATCGCTATTTTTAATGCTGTTAGGTGACTTATTGAATTTCCTCTTGTTTGTCATTGATTTTATTTTTTTGTGCATATTGTAACTGTCGTATTTTCGTTCGTATTGTTCTATTTCCCTGCATTCGTTGGAAAACCATTTTTCTTTGGCTTCTCGAATTTTCGTTCTTATGATTTTGTGGACCTGCTGGTATTTTTCTGCATTTTTATTCTTGAATTTACGTCTTTTATCCATCATATCCATTATCTCATCAGACATCCATTTTTTCTTCTTCCGTCTGTCACGTTTTAATAGAGTCGAGCATGTTACCAACGTGTTACCAACTTATATTACTATACCTTTAAAAAAACACCCTTTAAAATTCTGTACGTGCCTCTAGAGAAATTTCAGTCCACACCGTAATTGAACTAATTGGAAACATAACAAGACCTCCTCTACAGAAGAACCGTTGAACACTATAAGAGAAAAACAATACAATATAGAACTACTCCAAGAACAATCAATAAGAGAACTATACCAACAACGTCTAGACCAAAAATAATAGAATTTAGATACGGCAACATCGAAGAAATATACGAGCATATAAAGGCCAGTATAAAACAAGCAGCATTCGAAGCCCTTGGAGAAAAAGAACATATAACAAATAAACAGCACTATTATGAAATAAATGAACCAACAAAAAGAATAATTAAAGAAAAAAAGCAACTATACAAAAATGGCTGACTATAAACAACGATGAAGTTTATAAAGAATATAGAGAAAAAGATGAAGAAGTGAAAAAACAAATAACACAACAAAATGAATAAAGAATGGGAAAGAACCTGCCTAAATATTGAAACATACATAGGAGGTACAAGAACTTCGAAGTCATGGAAAGTACTGAGAGGATTGAAAACAAAACTCAAAAGAAAAAATTAAATTGGGAAATATACAGGACAAAGAATGAAAGGACTATTAACAAGGAACTGTTAACAGAACAAAGACCACAATTCATTGAAAAGAAAACAGGCGAAGACGAAGCAGATCCCCACAACAAGAAATAGAAATAACAGATAGGGAAATGAGAACGGCCATAAAAGCAATACAAAATAAGAAAGCACCGGGACCTGGATCTCACCTGAGCTTATAAAATACAGCTCAAAAAAATTACACCAGATGATATAATGGATATTTCAGAAAGCCATAAATGGAGAACAGCTCCCAAAGGAATGGACGGAGGCATATATGACATCTACATTTAAGAAAGAGATAGAAAACGATGCGAAAACTACAGAGGAATAAGCGTAATATCATCAATAGGAAAATTATATGGGAAGATACTGCAAGAAAAGATAGAGCAAGCGATAAAAGGCAAAATCAGGAAGGATCAGGCATAGACCACATATACACACTGGAACAACTGCTGGAAAAGAAAAAAGTAAAAAATAGAGATATACATTTGGCATTTGTGGACCTGAGAAAGGCGTATGACTCTGTACCAAGGTCAGAACTATGGAGGCAATGTACAAATTAGAAATACAGACGAAACTCATAGAAGCTACAAAAGCTCTGTATAAAGAAAATAAAGTGTCCATTAAAGTGGAAACAAGAATCATAGGAGACTTCACCACAACAAAAGGGCTCCTGTAGGATTGTTCCACATCTCCAACCCTATTCAAAATATACTTAGAGAAAGCCTTGACTACATGGAAAAGAAAATGCGAAGGCATGGGAGTACCGGTACGGAACGAATACCTATATACGTTAAGCTTTGCAGGCGATCAAGTAGTGATTGCACAAGTCCAAGACGACCTCAGCTACATGATGAAGAAACTACAAGAAGAATATACCAAGGCTGGCCTAGATATTAACCTCGCAAAAACAGAGTACCTATCTACAATTGAAGAAGACCCACAGATTGATGACAACGTAACAATCAAAGGAAAGGACAAATTCAAATACTTGGGGTTTATAATCACGAAAAAGGCAACAATAGAGGAAGAAATTATGCAAAGATTAGAACAAACAAGAACAGCTATCCGACAACTAAGTATGGTGGGATAGACACCTAAATATGAAGACAAAAACACATATTTATAAAAACATTAGTGCTAAGTATTATGACATATGGGTCTGAAAATTGGATTATAAACAAAAAAACAGCAGTAAGATAGTAGCAACAGAGATGGAATGCCTGCGAAGATGCTGCAGAGTAACAAGAATGGAGAAGGCCTAAACTATGGAGAATGAGACAACAGAGAGAGATGGAAATGGTTGAGCGAGGGAAGGTAGTGAATAATGTAGAATCCCTGAATATATATATATATATATATTATATATATATATATATATATATATATATATACCATAACTGAGTCCCTTAATAGCCTACTCTAGGACTGAAGGTACATTCTGCAAAACGCTCATGTGGTCTTCGCCATACTCTCTCACGACCATCTGGACCACAAGGTAAAACTGGACTTATCGGTAAATAAAACGTGCCTCCAATAATTATTTACAGTAAAATGCGCATGGTTTCTGGCAAACTGAAGCGCCTGAGAAGTTGTAGACCTGTTGCAAGTCTGGGACTGCTTAAATTTGTCTTTCCAAGCCTTTGTCTAATTTTTTGTTCACTTACGTTAGTATTCCGGATGTACCGAAGTTGATTTCGGATTTATACAGTCGTGACACGACGATCTCGTAGACTTTGTAAGAAGATGAAGTATAATCACGGGCACTTCTCTTCGGTGGGGCTCAGTTCCACCGAGTCGTCTAGTGGTTACGTTCATAAAGATAAAAAATGACTATTTCAAAAAATATCAAAAAATCTCGAAAATAAAGTGACAATGTGGTTGTATCTCACGTTCAAGATGACACAATTCTGGTTTAAATTTTAAATTGGCCATACTCCTGCTTTTAGATTATAGATTGCTTAATAAATTACTATTGTCGTTAATTATTAATTTTAGATAGTGACCCAAAAGATTCAGCCCGAAAAAATAAAAGGAATTGGTTTCGACGCTACTTGTTCCTTGGCGTGTTTCGACAAAAATGGATCACCACTTACTGTGAGCCCAACTGGTAAGAAAACTATTGTTTAATTATAAGAGAAACGTGCATGTATAGATCTCCGTAATAACAAACTTTGAAGTTAATCAATATTCAAGTATAGATATTAACTATGCAGATCTCTATAAATAATAAATAATTACACTGTCCCGCGAAATTAACCTGTCACAAGATTCTTCATTCCAATGTTTTCTTCTTTTGTTGAATTGCCCTATTTAATAATTATACTTATGTATTTATTATAATATAAGTTGCGTTTAACCATTCGTTTTTTTAAATTTTGGTGACTGTAAAGAAAGTTTTCGTCAATAAATTGAAAATTCACTTATAAAATCATTCTTGTTAAATTGATTGTATTGGTTTTTGGTGCATTAATGGCTGCTTTTTCGGAATCAAAAAGATTTTTAATAACACAATATCAATTGTTTATAATGTTTTTACATTTCAACCTATCACACGTCACGGGAAATACCTCCAAAACGACGGTTTTCTGTGTAGAAGTAGAAGTTTGGTTCTGTTGAAAAACGTACTACTTAGTTTTATTTAAAAAAAATTAAACGTTTTGGATTGTTTGTTATAAGAAAGTTTAAATCCAGCGCTTTTAAGCATATTTCAAACGCGTCACATTTGTTGTCAAAGCTCAAAACAACTTTCATGCTCCATGTTTTGAAGATTAGGCTCAAGTAGTAATCGCAACTTTATAGTCGTCAATCAATTAAAGGAATAGATTGTATTGATCTCATAAAAATGATAAAAAATGGCAAAAATAGCGCAAAGTTTATTTATTTAACACCTTTATAAAATCTATATACAACATAATACAAGAAATGGAACGATGTGACCTAGACATCATAGGACTTAGCGAAATCAGATGGCCTAACAGTGGTAAATGTACTAAAGAAAAAGCGACACTATATTACTCAGGAAATAACCTACCCCATCATTATAACGAAGTTGGATTTCTAGTTAACACAGCCTCAAACAAATCAGTAAGGAACTTCGTGGCATACTCAGATAGGGCAGCACTACTACAAGTCCAAGCCGATCCTGTTAACCTTAACATTATGCAAATCTTTGCACCAACCTTGGACAAGCCTGAAAATGAAGTAAAACAATTGTACAGAGAGATTAAGGAGTTAATGAAACTGATCAAGAAGAACCAGACTCTTATATTCATGGGAGATTTCAATGCGAAGGTAGGGCGAGGACGTGTTGAAGATGTCGTGGGTGACTTTGGTTTGGAAGATCGAAACGAGAGAGGTGATATGCTAATCCAGTTCTGTCAAGAAGAAAAATTAGTCATTGCGAATACCTGGTACAAACTGCCACCTCGGAGACTCTACACCTGGCAGTCTCCACAACATACGCATGACACATGAAGAATCAAATTGATTTTTTATTGTTAGAGATACAGAAATGGATTGCAAGGAGTAAAAACGTGCCCTGGAACAGATATCGGATCTGATCACAATCCCGTAGTAGAAAAATTGAAAATTAAGCTTAAGAAAATTAAAAGAAAATTGATATAAACAGCTTAAAACAACCTAACGTTAAACTAAAAGTCACGGAAAAATTAAATGGGGCAATAGCGGATATCACGGCTAGATCCAAACAACCGGCCAGTATAGAAGACAAATGGAATTGTATTAAAAAAGTTATCGTAACCACCACCAAGTCTCTGATCGCTTCCCAAAAGTACAAAAAGAAGAATTGAATGACTGACGAAATATTATTAATGATGGACGACCACCGATCATTTAAAAACAAAAATCGAACCAAACATCAGCAGATTAACCGACAAATACGAAAAGAGTGTCGCAAAGCTAAAGAACAGTGGCTACTAGGCAGGTGTGCAGAAATGGAGGAATTGGAAGAAAAACATGACCACTTTAACATACATAAACTCGTTAAAGAAGTGACAGGTCATAAAAAACCTTGCAGTTTTAACAGTATGGTGAAGAACAATAAATTAATTACTGGTTCCAAGGATCTACTTCAACATTGGAGAAACTACGACAAAGCAACTATACTCAGACAACACTAGAAGAAACCCTGAAAGTGAATATAAAAGTGAACCCTCCCGAAATTATTGAAGTCAGAAGTTGTAAGGGCAATCAAACAGCAAATGAGGGAAAGCACCAGGCCCAGACGATATATATATATATATATATATATATTATATATATATATATATATATATATATATATATATATATATATTATATATATATAGAGAGAGAGAGTTTCTAACAATGTTGAGTGAAGACAATATAGACGCCTTGGTAGATCTTTTTAATGATATTTATTCTTCTTCTGGTAGCACTACAACCCGGGGTGGGTCTTGGCTGACTGCACAACCTGCTTCCATCTCGAACGGTCGTCCATGATGTTTAAGTCAGTGGGTAGCCCCATTGTTCTCAAATCTGACCATATATTATCTCTCCATCGCATTCGTGGAGAGAGAGAGCTAAGAGCCTTCTCCCTGTCGGGACTTCTTCCCAGATTAACTTGGTAAGGCGGTTATTAGGGAGCCTATGAACATGGTCAGCCCATCTTAGACGTTGGGATTTAATCTCTTGGACTACGTCGCTAGCACTATACATTTGTTTGACCTCGGCATTTGTTCTCATTCGGTATTGGTTAGTATTCGGATCGTGATAGTAACCGAAGATCTTTCTGAGGATTTTTCTCTCAAAGCATCTGAGTTTACTTTCATTGCTTTTGTCAGCGTCCACGTCTCACACCCATACATGAGCACCGGTCTAATTACTGTTTTATATATCCTGATTTTTGATAGTGTTGTGGAGGCTATACATACATCTGTTTGCTGCCTGAATTCTCCCTTTTATCTCTTCCGTGATATCGTTATCTGTGGTGATAGTCACTCCGAGATATTTAAAACTCTCCACTCTTTCAAAGTTATAGGGGTCTATTGTTACATTTTGTCCTAATGACATTTATGGATCTGGTCAAAAACCACAGGATTGGCTTCAATCAACCTTTATACCAATCCCAAAAAAGCCAAACGCTAATAGTTCCGACCAATTCCGAATGAGCAGCTTATTGAGCCAGGTCTTAAAACTCTTCTTAAAAATAATTCACACAAGAATATACAACAGATGTGAAAGAGACATTAGCCCCACACAGTTCGGTTTGAGACAAGGATTTGGCACAAGAGAAGCACTTTATAGCTTAACTGTACTACTTCAGAAATGCAAGGATTAGCAAGAAAATGTCTTCCTATGCTTTATATTACCAGAAAGCGTTTGATTGTGTTAATCATTCAGAATTAGTAAGATTGCTCCAGGAACGTTCGATAGATGAGAATGACCATAAAATCATAAAAAACCTTTATATGAATCAAGTGGCATCTGTGAGAGTAGGACTGGAATCTACATCATATTTGTCAATCGAAAAATGTGTACGACAGGGTTGTATTCTGTCACCCCTTCTTTTTAATCTTTACTCTGAAACGATTTTCGATAGAGCCTTAAGTGACACTGAAGATGGAATCAAAATCAACGGACAGACTATTAGTAATCTTCGCTATGCTGATATTACAGTCATAATAAGTGATAGCCAAGAAGCGCTACAATGTCTAATAGATAGAATAGACACTGAAGGACTACACTTGATACAATAAACACTTGAGTAAGCCAGAACAGCATTTACTAATATGAGAACCTTGCTAAGCAACAGCAGCCTTAACTTAACGGTTCGATATCGCTTTGTAAAATGTTACATTTACTCCATACTATTATATGGTGTAGAAACCTGGACCATAAAGGCCAATGTGATGAACCGATTGGAGGCCTTTAAAATGTGGGTATTTAGAAGACTACTTAAAATTCCCTGGACAGATCACAAAACAAATGTCGAAGTATTAAATCGAATAGGCAGAGAACGAGAATTGCTGCCAATAATAAAAAGAAGAAAAACTGCTTATCTGGGTCATATATTTCGAAATTCCAAGTACCAGTTCTTAAAGCTTATTATGGAAAGGAAGATAGATAGAAGGAAAACGAGGTATCGGAACAAAGAAATATTCATGGCTTAAAAACATAAGGGATTGGACAAACCTCGATGCCCATACACTCTTTAGAGCCACACAAGATCGAGAGGAGTATGCCAGAATTGTCGCCAACATCCACTAATTGGGTGGGGCACCATAAGAGGAAGAATAAAATCTAAGTTTACTTGCAGCAAAATACAAAAATTGCATACGAAAGCTAAACTATTTACCTTTAAAACTCTCTTGATGTTTGTCGATAGGATACTTGGATCAAAAGATATTGAATTTTTACCGTTGAGCTGATACAAATTTTATTGAGCATTGATTTCGCGCACGTAGCTGATATTCAAAATCGACGGTCGCTTCAAGCGTTGTTTCTGAGAGAACGGTTCATTTTACACAAAAAGTGATATAAAACATGTTTGTTTAAAATTATCTCAGCTACATTTTTTTATTTGAAACATTTTTTTCTACGGGGAACAGATTCTTGGTAAATTGATTTATTTGCGCTTTTACCTCCCTGCGAGGGGGTTTTAGGGGGAAGGCCAGGGGTAAAAGTGGTAAACTTTTTTTGATCTTTTTTGGGGTCCCAAAATTAATATTCTCGGCAAAATTCAGCCTGTTCGTATAATTTTTAGAGGTTCAGTTTCATTTTCGTCTCTGACGACTGGAGTATAAAATAAAACTTGACATACGTTCATATCAATATGAATGCAAATGTGTATAATATATAAAAAAAAGTAGGGTAGTAGTAACGTCCCTCTGATCGAACCGCAAAACTTCTTGAACAACCTACTTCAACTTCATAAAACCGTTTTCTTGTAGTTAAAATACCATTTTATAAAAGATTTGCTGATTAAAAATGATAAATTCGAAATAAAACTTGAGCTGAAATAAAATTTTATATATTATGTATTTTACAAATATTTTCACAACCCAAGATTTAGATTTTAGGATACTTATTTTTGTATTGTATTGACTTATCTTATACCCATTATCTCTTTATCATCAAGTAAATAAAGTATTAAACAAAAAATTTATTTAAATCTGATTTAAAGTTCCGTTAAACATTTTATTATTTTTAGGAAATAATCAACAGAACGTAATCCTCTGGCTGGACCACAGAGCAGTGAAAGAAGCCGAAGAAATTAATAAATTGAACCATCCTGTTCTGCAATATGTTGGTGGAAGGATTTCTCCTGAAATGGAAACGCCAAAATTGCTTTGGCTCAAAAGGAATCTCAAGGAAACTTGGGACAAAGCTGGTTTATTCTTCGACTTGCCCGATTTCTTAACATGGAGAGCCACTGGAGCTGATTCAAGGTAGTATCAAGTTTAAACAAAAGTTATGTTTAGGTTAGGTACACTTATAATTTTAATAGAGCTAAAGCTAAAAACCAATCGCTGCCGTTAATGCAAAATGTCATATGTTAAATAATTCACTTTTCAGGAGACAAAAAAAAACTGAATAATATTTACTGTGTGAGTAGTGTTTTTCTCCAAATTAGAAGATATACATATATGTATTGTCCTTTGTTTTTAAGTATATCTTCTAATTTGGAGAGAAATCAGTCATAGATCTTTTAGTTTCAACTTCGAGCGATAGTCCGGCCTTTCGGCTATTTCTCCAAGCATTATGTTTTTTAAACTTTTTTTTTTGTAAAATAGTTTCGAAACACAATTCGAAATACGTATCAACAGATACATAGGATTTGTTTGCGTGAAATCAAATATTTGCTGTCTTTTTCATTTTTTTTAAGTGAGATTTCCCATCCCATTTCATCACATTTCTTCGAAGCAACATGGAGAGCCTTGGTGACCAATTCATACTGACCGTCTTCCAAAAATACTTTAAAACTTCGGAGTTTTATTACGACGTTTTCAAGGCTCAAATCCTTCGTCTATGAATACCTTTGTGCACTGTTTATTTCTTGCAAAATGTACCCCATAAATGAAATAATCCAAAAAAGTCACAATTGTTCAAGAGTAAAATTTCAGCAGAGCCCCGTGTGTTAATATTTTCCTTGACGTCGCACAATTTTTCTGTCACTTCAACTAATTTATCAAAATGTTTCAAAGAAGGTTTCACAGCTTCGTGATTGGCACTTCAACTAGTGTCAGATAGCTGTTTTAAATATACACTTATAACTTCCATTAAAATCCTCCATCTATGTGGAGAGGACGAGAAGAAATTATATACACTTTCTAATAAACATTATACAGCTAGAGTTGATTGCAAATACATGAACTTCAAACAAATTGAGTGAATGGTTTGCACAAGACACAAACATGATTTTGATATTTTTTTCTTGATCCTTGCTTGAATGCCTGACATAGTGACTTCATTATCATAGGCTTGACTCCCACACAATTGTAGATCTAATCCAACATTTTTTAGTACATTTATAATATCATTGGTTATGTCTAGTGATTTTTTCCCAGTAAGAACAAAAAATCCTAAAAAAGATTAATTAACTTTAATTTTATTATTCTCGGTAATATGAGCGTATTATATGTCACAACCTCACTTATCTGGTCTAAGTGGGAAACATCAGGATTGCTGTCAAGAAGTGTCCCAAAATATTTTGCGTTTTTGATCTCCGTAATGATTTTCTGCTTGCTCTCTTGCCCAGAAAATCTAGAAATTCATTTTGTATCATTGGAGGCAAGTAAGTTACAGTGTTTGAAAAAAAATGTATCTATTAAACATGTTCTTTTAGAACAGAATCATAATTAGATAGAAGTTGAACAAGCTCAAGGAAGTTGTCTATTTTCTATGACCTCGGAATGATGAGTTTTACTTAGCTAGGTACAAGATTATGTCTAAAAGATATAAAAGAAAGGATATTTTTCTATTTTTTCTTTTCTTCTTCTATCATTTTTTAATTGCTGCGTTTTATTTAGTTTCAAATGTAAGGCAAATGTTTTCCATTTTTATAGGTTTGCCAGGTGTTCCTCAGGTGTTGGATCACCTGTTTTCATGTTCACGTGCACAAAAGTTTCTTTGTAATAAATTGAAAATCGTTTCATTCACTACAGATTGTAGTTTTAAATATTTACAATTTTTTTTTCATTATTTCTTAATTTTTAATCTATAACTTTTATGCCAATTTGGATGCTCCCATATATCAGATGTTCCATCGGATCACAACCTACTAGTGGCTAAATTAAAAATAAAGTTCAAAATGCTAAAAAAGACTGTCAAAAGAAAAACCGACATCAATTTACTTAAACAAGAAAATATACAAAGTATGGTAAATACTAAACTCAACGAGGAATGTGAAAGACTCCAAAGAGAGTTATCACCAACTACAGAAGGCTTATGGACTGAAGTCAAGAATGCTTTTACTAGCGCCGAGAAATATATAAAAGACACTAATAACAAAAGAAAATCTAAACCCTGGATGACATAAAAAATTCTGGGAATGATGGATACTCGAAGAGCCTACAAAAATAAAAATAATGAAAAATATAGGGAGATACATCGTCAAATCAAGAAAGAAATAGCTACCGCAAAAGAAAATTGGATGATAGAAAACTGCCAAGAGATCGAAGAATTAATAAAGAAACACGACAGTCAAACGCTTCACAAAAAAATAAAAGATCTAGCTGGAATGACAAAAACAAAGACTCCCTTGTAGATTAACAAACGACGAGAATGAAACGATATGGGAATTAAGCGATCTAAACAACGTATGGGGACATTACATAGAAGAACTATTCTCGGACACACCACTAAACAACATAATATATAAAAACCATGAAACCAGTCCTCCTATATTAAAACAAGAAGTAGAGAGAGCAATCAAAAACGCAAAAAATGGGAAAGCCCCTGGCTCCGATGACATACATACGAAGTCATAAAGCTACTGGAAGAGAAACATTTAAATATAATCGTCAAATTATTTAATCAAATATATACAAGCGGTGAAATTCCACAAGACTGGTTAAAATCAGTCTTTATTCCCCTTCCAAAAACTAAGGGAGCAAAGAAGTGTGGTGATTTCAGACTTATTAGTTTAATGTCGCATATGTTAAAGTTATTCTTGAAAGTTATTCACCAACGCATTTATAAGAAATGTGAACAGGATATCAGTGATGAACAATTTGGCTTCCGAAATGGATTTGGGACACGGGAAGCATTAACCAGTTTTATTATACTGCTGCAAAAATGTCAAGACCAACAAAAGGATCTCTTTTTATGTTTTATTGATCAAAAGGCCTTCGACAAAGTAAAAACATGATACAAACGCTGTATTTTAACCAAACTGCAGCAGTTAGAACAGAAGCCGGTGACACAGAAATATTCAATATCAAGCGAGGTGTACGACAGGGGTGTGTATTGTCACCACTACTTTTCAATATATATTCGGAAGAAATCTTTGCACGAGCACTAGAGCAATCAAGAGAAGGTGTTAAAATTAACGGCAGAGTTCTAAATAATGTACGATACGCCGACGACACGGTCCTAATTGCAGAGAGCGCACAGGATCTCCAGACACTCTTAGATCGCGTCAGATCGATCGGAGAACAATACGGCCTCAGCATTAACGTCAAGAAAACAAAAACAATGATTGTCTCCAAAACATCCATCCATCCACCCATGGCTTTAAACGTGAATGCTAACATTATCGAAAATGTCGAGAAATTTCGATATCTAGGGTGCTGGATAACGAAAGATATAGATCCAGACATAGAAATAAAATCGCGAATTGAACAAGCAAGAAATGTCTTTTTGAAAATGAAACAAATGTTTACGTCCCAAACACTCAATCTCAAAATCCGATACCGAATGCTGAAATGTTACGTTTACAGCACCTTACTATATGGAATGGAGGCCTGGACCTTCAAAATCAACTCACTCAGGCGTTTGGAAAGTTTTGAAATGTGGTTATTTCGAAGGATGCTGAAAGTCCCCTGGACAGCGCATATGAGCAACGAGCAGGTCCTACACAATATGGGTACCGACAGAGAACTCTTAAAAATAATGAAAACACAGAAAACCTCATATTTGGGACACATATACACAAATGAGAAATACCATCTACTGCAGCTTCTTATAGAGGGGAAGGTAGAAGGAAAACGTGGTCCTGGTAGACGGCAGGCGTCCTGGTTGAAGAACATTCGTGAGAGGACTGGTTTGGATTCTCAATCTTTAATAAGAAAAGCCAGGGACAGAAATGATTTTGCTGAGGTTATCGCCAACCTTCATTGAAGACGGCACCCAAAGAAGAAGAAGATATATCAGAGGCCCGGAGCGGACCTCCACACTCCCCCACCGCCCCCTAGTTACGCCACTGAATGTATGGCTTACCTGTCTTTTTTGAAAATTTTATAATTTTCGCAATTTTGAAGAAACAGAGTGGGCCACTTTTCAACACTTTTTTTTCTTTTTGTGTGCATGCATGCATAGTGATACTGTCTAATTTTTCCACCTAATACAGATATATAAAGAAAATATATTTGTTTTTATTCGGACCTACACAGTTATCAGTACAAAATATGATATTTTGTTTTTATTTCTTTTTCTGAAATCGTTTTCAAATGCTGATAAACGCGCTTGCATTTCATTCGCGCTTCTTTTTACAAGTCACTCGTGTCATAAATAGCAATAACCTTGTTTTTGAAATAGGTCAAATATGGTAAAATTTAGAACGTTTAATCGTTCTAAAATCGATTTATAATAAATTTTGCAATTTCACTTTGAGGTAGAATCATGACAGCTTGAAGATCGTAACAACAAACCACGAGATCTTCCTGTTATATTATATCTTCCTGTTTCTTTGCACTATTTTTAAACGATTCACATGTTGAATCCTATATTGAATTTTGTATTGAAAATTCTTTCATAAATTGATTTTTTGACATAATCTTGTCTTTTCTTCAATACATTTTTCTTTGTACCGCCTACACATCATTTCTAAATTCAGTGGCCCTTCTAGGTATTCATTTTTTTTTTGTTCCCGCTCTACAGTAATCTCAGTGTAGACTGTAAACAGTAATGTAACTAAACGAATTTATGTGCTGCATAAAGTATTTAATTTTTCATTCTTCAGTTTTGTTTATATAACTATTTTCTCCTTCTGTCTTCCTCCATACATCCAGTTTTGGTTGTTTTAGCAACAATTGTTACTATCGCATTGTTTGAAGTATTAAGCGTAGCAGTAAAAAACTTTTACAGTCATTTAACAGGAAATGGTAATCCTTATTAATTGAACGTTTAGGGTTACTATATTGTTAGGTGAAATATGAGTCATACATTTTGATATGAAATCTCTCTAACGAGTCTTGTCCCCTAACTCATAACTTTTCTTAGCAGTGAT